CGGGCCGCCCGAAGACCAGGGGCCCCCGAGAAGACCCAGAGGACTCGTGATCCCTGGGGAGCCTGCGCGCCTCGCGTGCAGCGTGCGCGTGCTGCGCGTGCGTGCTGAGCTGCGTGCGCGTGCGCGCGCGTACGTGCGCTGCGTGTGCGCGCAGGGCTCCGCGAGGTGCCGGCTACAGGGCGCGGGTCGGAGCGCTGCCCGCCCGCCCTCGCAGGCCGAGCCCCAGACCTCCCGGGGGTGTCCTGGGCACCTCTCCGTGGCGGGCCCAGCCGTGGCGCCACGAGGCCCCAGAGGGGGGCCCCAAACGGGGCCCAAAAGCGCCCCCCACACGTCCAAGACGTCCAGCTTGACGCAGACCCCTGCCATCGCTCCGACGTCCACTCCCTGTGCTTTTTGGTTTCGTGCGTGGTTTTTTCGCCAAATGGTCAAGGATGCTCCTCGATGGTCCTCGCCGAAGGAAAAATGCACACGTCCGAGCGATGCCAAGGACCCCGCTTCTCCGTACAGCGTGACCCCCCCGTGCCGGGAGGGCCTGCGCGCTGGCGGTGGCGGCCAGGGCGCCAGCCTCCGGCGGCGGCCGCGGCACCGCCCGACGGTGGCCGCGCGGGGGCGGGCGTCAGGCCGACCCCGAGGGCGCGGGGCGAGTCAGTGACGACGGTCACGAAGCGAGTTCGGCGGATTACGAGGGGAACAAAAAGTGACATAAACATAAAAACTCGGAGGTCCGCGCGGATTTCTCGGATCGGCGCTGGGACCCCCCGGCGGCGCCTCCGGAGCCGCCGCTGGCGCGCTCCGCGCGCCAGGGAGGGGGGGTCCAGCGCCGATCCGAGAAATCAGCGCGGACCTCCGATGTTTCATGTTTATGTCCCTTCTTGTTCCCCTAAGTACGAAGCCCGACGAGCCAACTCTGCTCGGATGCGGACATGAGGCCAGCGCCCTGCGAGAATGTTTGAAGGGGCCCCAGGACACACAAAAAAATACATACAAATAAACAGATTCCCCATGTTTTCCGATATTTTCTGGGTTTCTGCCTTCCCCCCACTTCCCATATTTTCCAATATTTTCCGGGGGATCGACGATTAATTGCGTCTGTGTGTTACTTTTCCTCCTGAATGTTGTCGAGACATGGCTCGATCGGGGTTCGTGGTCTCACCGAGACCTCTCAAACACTGGCTGGCGAAATGCCCACACTGATAACAACACCACACATTAAGCACCTTCAGTAGACGCATCCGATGACTACCGTGCACCATCCCCCCTGCGATATGCAGCTGCACAGTGCTGGCAGCCCCCCAAACAAAAACCGTTAATGTTACTGCGTTCGAAGCACGGACTGTCGCACCACAGCACAGGCGGGTAGGATAACGGAGCTGAAACACTTAAGACATCTCCCTCCACAATCTGCCAAAATGTGAGAGGTCGCGAAAATTCGCGCATCCGAAGGAGCAAGAGGAGGTGTAGGGCTCAGACTTTCCCCTGGGGCCATCTCCCGCCAGGGAGATGCCAAAAGACAACCCCCCTCCCGTGCATTCCCTGACTGTCATCTCGCATTACCCGGACCCCGTGGAGCCGTGGCAAACTCACAACGAACAGTGTTGGTCGATGCTCTGCCTCTGTTGGGAGCCCACAAAGGACGTACGCGCCCAACTATGTACATGAACACGGCCCCTCGATCCGCGAGACCGGCCGCGTTATACGAACAGTTGCGCAATGCGTACTCTCGAAACCAGCGTGGATTCATGTACATGTACGTCCTTCTTTCGCTCCTGACTCTGGGAGTCCTGCCTGGGCCCCGGGATAGCAGCACAGACAACCAGAATGGGGAATGCCTGCGCTCGTGGACACGCAGGGACAGCCTAGCCCAGCTGGCACGCCCCGCCAGGGGTTAAGCCTAGGGCGCGGGGCACTGTGTGCGACGGGGGTTGATTTGGAGGTGTCGGTGGGGGTAGCGCCTCCCCAGAGCTTGATCGTGGAACTCGGAATCTCCGTAACTTCACATGCCCTCGCGGACGGATGCCGAGGCGCGATCCAATGGCTACGCCACCCCAAGAAAGCGCTGCGCGTGGGGCACCCGCGCGGAGGAGCCGCCCTGTGTCCGCGAGGCGGCGGCTGCGGACACGACCGGAGAAAGCGAAAGGTACCGATACCGCTACTCCCCGGACCTCTCCGGATGGGCGGGATGTCGAGGCGAATCCAGCGGTGGCCACGAGGGCCTCGCCCGAGGCCAAAACAGCAAAAACAGGGCCAGGGAAGCGGTATGGGTGCAGTTCGGGGATGGACAGAACCCCCTTTAGTAATAGAGGTTGTGCAAACGATCTCGGGCCCAAACCTGGCAGGCGCAAGCCTGGAAAATGAAGGCTGCGGCGCCCTCGAGAACCTAAAACGCACAATTCACCAATCGACGTGTCAGAAAAGGGAATCTGTCTACCCCCGAACCTGAGCCTCCTCTGCCGGACCGTGACGCCCAGGACACGGAGAGACGTCTCGTGCTGCCGAGGGAGGGAGCTCTCCCTGCGCCTGCGGCCGCCGCTGCTGCTCCTCTGCTCCGCTGCCTGCCCCAGAGCCTCGGGCAAGAGCTAGGTCGGGCGTGTCCTCCTGCAGGCGGACGGTGGACGAAACACTGAAACAAATAATCAGCAGATCTACCAACACTACTCCAACGACAGACGGACAATCGCCCCCAGAGCATCTGTTTGTACCATTTCTGCCTGTTTGAAGGGTCCCTGGGACACACAAATAAATCTATACAAATGACAGGATTACCGATGTGTTCAAATAGTTTCTGGGTTTTTGTCTTCCCCCCACTTCCCATATTCTCCACACTGTCCTCGGAATCGACGATGAATTGTGCCTGTGTGTTTTCCCCTCCTTAGAGATGGAGAAGGCCCTCTCAGAAGGCGGCGGGACGTTTCAGAAGCCCTCGCGCCTTCTGAAAAATGTGCGTCTTCGGGGGAGGCTTAGACAACCTCTCAGACAGCCGGGGAACTTCCGAGCCTTCTGAGAAGGCCCACCCCTTCTCATCTACCCCCTGGGCTCGCCGCCGACTCCAAGCCTCAGTCCTCACTCCTGACGAGTTATGAGAAGGGGGTTCGGAGCCCCTCGGCCCGAGTCTCTCGGGGCGGCCTGCGGACCCCCCGCCTTTGGTCGTATGCCTGTTCCGGACCCAAGAGGGCCCCCCAAAGCTCCCAAGACGGGCCACGAGGGCCCCGAGTCGCCGAATGATCGCTCAGAGACGCTCAAGATGGCTCCCAGACGGCCCGAGAGGCCTCCAAGACGCCCAAAGAGGCCTCCAAGAGAAGCCTCCCAAGAGGGCCCCGCGAGGCCAAAATCATTGATTGCTTTTCCCAAGGTTTTTGAAAGATTTTGGCGCTCTCGCCTTTTCGGCTTCCCGACGCTCCCAGACGGCCCTAGAGGCCTCCAAGACCCCCCCAAGACGGCCCAAGAGGCCTCCGAAAGGACCCCAAAACAGCGTAAGAGGGCCAACAACGGCCCACGATGGTCCCAAGAAGGCCCCGACGGGGGCCCAAAAGAGGGAGAGAACACGAACCGAAGACTCTAACCTTCCGCCCCAAGAGGCCCCCAGGAGGCCTCAAGAGGCACCCAGGAAGGAGTCCCCAAGAGGCCCTCAAGAGGTCTCAAGAAGCCCCCAAGAGTCCCCAACGTCCCCAAGAGGCGTCCGAGCGGTCTCCAAGAGGCCACCCAGAAGCCCCCCACGAGATTCCAACGAACATAAAATAATTAGGCTGCATAGCTATAGCCCAAGCACGGTGGCGGGGAGGTGATGGACAGTCCCCCGCCCACCTCTCTTCCTAGTTCCTGGTCCTTCTCATCTTTCCCCCTTGTAAAACGAAGCCAGGACGAGGATAAGATCGGGTGCAGACAAATCGAGACTCTCTGAGATCCGGCGGCTCTGGAGGGTATCTTGGGCGCCGCAGCCTCCTCAGAGCGTTCTGGAACGCTCTGGAACGGACTGATCCTTGTCCTAGCCCCGCCCGACCTTCCCCTCAATCCCGTTCTGCCCTCCCGCCCACTGTCCACCACCTCCCCGACAAACCTCAACTGGGGGAACAATGCATTCTCTTCCGCCGCTGGGGGGGTGGGACCGTCTTTCAACGATCTATCCCGGTGTCGAAGACGACGGCCCCCCCCGCTGGGTGGCGACCACAACATCCCTGAGTATGGTTGGTCTGCCTCCACGCCCCCTCTGGAAACCTCCATCCTTCGCTCTCGCCTTCGCCCTCCCCGTCCTCCTCCTATCCATGATAATGGATGGATAAGAAGGCAGGGTGGCGGAGAGGAAGAACGACGAGGAGAGGGCATATCGGGGAAGAAAGAAGATGTGATACTGATGCTGACGAGGATGTTGATGCCGGTGCTAAAGCTGCTGATGCTGCTGCTGATGAGGATGACGATGATGAACATGCTGATGCGGATGATGGTGACGATGATGATGCTGATGCTGATGATGCTGATTATGATGGAAACGATGCTGATGATGATGCTGATGATGACGATGATGATGATGATGCTGATGATGATGATGCTGATGATGATGACGATGCTAAACATGTGGATGATCATGATGATGGTGAAGATGATGGTGGCGATGGTGATCATAATGAGGATGACGATGATGAAGAAAGCAACACACATGTTCCCCCCCGAACGTCCCACATTGCACGACGGGATATGGCTGTCAAACTATCTTGGCCCAGACCAAAAACATGCAGGACTCACGGGTCAAGTCGACCCCTGCCGGCGCAGGAGGAGAGTGGGAGCGGCTGGGGAGGGACTGGAGGCGGGAGGAAATGACGCACACGGGCATGCGGACAGCTCGCCTCTCAGCCCAACACGCGCGGCAACGACTCAGGGACACCAGTTCCGCGGCATGCCCACCGTAATCAACGCAACGTCGCGCAGCGGATGCCGACGATGCCCGAGAACCCGAGCTGATCCCAGCGCCTCTGTAGCGAGCTGGTGACGTCGGGCTCCAGCGTTACTTACCACTCTTCGCTCAGCAGCGCCAGGGCCTGCTGCCACTGCTCGCCCTTCTCGCATGCGCTGATCCTAACGCTGTAGATGAGGACGTCGGGCTCCAACTTCGCCTCCCGCATCTCGCTCAGCAGCGCGAGGGCACTCTGCCACTGCGCGGCCTTCTCGCACGCGCTGGTCCCAGCGCTGTAGCTGACTGGTGTAACCATGGAAATCCGCTGGTGCACTGGCAAGGGAAGCGGCGGGGTGGGCCATCTCGAGTCGTCTTGGGGCTTTACCTGAGATGTCTTGCAACTCTCTCGGGCCGACTTGCAGCTTTGCAGGAGGTTCCGGGAGCACCCAGAGGACCTCGAACACTGGCTCAAGGGGGGCTCGAGAGCGCCCGAACACGACCCCAAGTGGGCCCGAAGAAAACACCCGACAACTGCCATAACAAGGGGGTGCGTTGTAGCATCCGGTTGGGGGCCTCTTCGGCCTCTCTGGGAGCGCTCTTAGGGCCGTCTCGGGATGCATCCGGGCTCGTGCGCTGCAGAGGAGCGGTCCTGGGGCACTCCAGGGCACTCGCGGGGCTCTCCTGGGCTAGGACGGCGCCGCCCCACGAGCGGGGACGCGGAGTCGCCGCCGCCGCGGGCCCAGCGGGCGCAATCCATTGACGCTCCGGGAGCGCGTATGACTGGCATTGCATTACAGACGAGGCCTGGCCCCACATCTCGCTCAGCAGCGCCAGCGCCCCACGCCACTGGTCGGCCTTCTCGCACGCGCTGATGCCAGCGCGGTAACTGACTAGTTGCCTCAAATCAGCCCGGATGCCATGAGGGCACCCGGGCCGATTTCAGGGCACCTGGCAGCGAGGGTATTGGAGAAGGAGCACTTGCTAGCACGGTGGCCTGGCAACGTATGGCTGTCGTCTTCTCTCTTGCTTGCTTCACTGCTTGCTGATCCGCGCTCTGCCGCTTTCTACCCTTTGTTGATGGTTGGTGTTGTTTGCTGCTGCTTTGCCATGTGCTTCTCGCCGCTGAGGAATCGTGCTTGCTGGTGTGCGCTGCTGCTTGGTACCCGCTGGTACTGCGCGACTGAACTTTCCGTGTTGCTGTTGATGCGTGCCTTTGCCACCTGCACTGGCTGCTTGTAGCCGCAGGTGCTGCGACTTACTAATTGCTGCGCTCTGCTCAATGCTGCTGACTCCCGTTGCACGCTGCTGCTCCTTGCTGTTGCTGCGTGCTGCTGCAAGACCTTGTTTCTTGACACTTCTTCTTGCTGGCGCAGCCTGCTGCTCGGGGTGGCTGATGCACGCTGCTGGCGCTTTCTGCCTGCTGCCGAGTGCTGCTGCATGATGCTGCTGCTTGCTGGACCTGCATGCCGGCGCCGCTTGCTGTTGATTGCTGCCGCGGGGCCCTCTGAGGGCTCCATGCAGGCTGGCTTCGAGATCTCCGAGGCGTCGCGACGCGCTCCTGAAGCAGCTTTGTGACGAAAAACCTGGAAAACCTAAATCTGGTAAACTGTTGCAACTGTGGCAACTGTTGGCTCCTCTGTAATTCTCCGGTGCGACTCGCAGGGCCTGAATTGCCTCGGGGTCCTCTTGGGACCTCTGGGTCATCTCTGGCAGATGCCGACCTGGGATGCCCTGAGACCGTCAGGGCGAACTCTGTGGGCCTTGGGACTACCGAGGGACCCTGCGGTGCCTGTGGCACTCGTTCGGGAGTCGCTCTTCCAGTGCGCACTGGACCCTGAATTCTAGAGATGACGTCGGAGACTCTGGATAGCTTGCAGAGAACCTTCATGCTGCTGTCGACAGAGAGATCGCGCCTCTCGGAAGAGCTTTCCAGCTTGGCCCAGAGAGGAGCCAGCCCCCTGGGACGACACAGTTGGCTTTCTCGCACGCGCTGATCGCAACGGTGTAGCTGACTAGCGGCGGCCCATGGGCCGAATACACTAGCAACTCGCTCGTCCAGCATGACTTAACAAACCGGTATGTCGTACGCGTGTCAGTTGCTCTGGACGGCGGTTCGGCTGAGTGTTGGTGCTCATGTGCTGAGGGCGTTGGAGGGATTCCTCGTGATGAGTCATGGAGGGGTCCAGAGGACTCCTCCTGTCCCCTCTCTGGCTCCAGCCTCCTGCCTATGGTACTGGCTGCTGCTGCTGCTGCTAATTGCCAATGGCTGCTGACTGCCGCGTTGTCTCAATTCGTCGCTGATTGCTGCGGCCTGCTGCTGCTCGATGCTACATGCTGCTGCATGCTGCTGGTAGCTACTTCTTAGTACGACCGCGTGCGGATGCTAGGTGCTTCATTACTGCTGGTTGCGTAGGCTGCTGCTTGCTGCAGCTGTGCCCAGTGAGTGCTTGCTGCTGTGGCTTTCTGATTCCTGTTCTGCTTCTCGCTGCTGGTGTTGCTGCTCTTTATATTACTGTTGCTGCTGCTGGAGCTGCTCGCTGAAGGTTGTTGCCAACTGCTGCTGGCTGCATCGTTGCCTCTGCTACTTCTGCTGTCCTTGTTGCTGCCAAAACGGGTTGCTGTCGCTCGCTGCTGTTTGGTGTTGCTGATTGGTGCTGCTTGATGGTGCTTCTGCTTACTGGTTATGTTTGCCTGCTTGCTGCTTTTGGCTGTTCCTGGCTGCTACTCCAGGCTCTGCTGCGAGGGTGACGGGGACGGAACACGTATGGTGTCTCTGGTTGCTATTTGCTGCAACTCGTTCCTGTTTGCTCTTCCGTGCCGTGACTGGTCAGCATCTCCTGTTGCGTGCTGCCTCTTACTGCGGCTTGGTGCTGCGGTGTGATGCTGCTGAGTGTTGGCTGCTGCGTGTTGCTGCACGCTGCAAAAAACGCGTGTTTGCGAATGCTTACCGATGCCGCTCAATGGTGCTGCCTGTTGCAACTTGGTGCGGTGACTTGCCGCTGCTTTGTGAGGTTTGCTGGCTCAGTATGGTGCTAGTGATTGCCTTCTGCTTGCTGCACTCTGCTGCTTTAGTGGTGCTGCGTGCTGCTGATATGTGCTGGGGTCTCTTGAGGGCCTCTTGAAGCTCTCTAGGGCTATCGTTGGAACATCTCGGGCATGCTGGCAACAAACGGTGGAAGGACGAACAAAGATATATTGGCACACATCCGGGAAGGCTGCCATCTTGGATCCCGAGTGGAGCTTCTGGGGCAATAGGATGCCCGTCGTGGGCTCTGGTGCGGCATAACCTCAAACACCATGAAAGAACCTCCCGAGGTTATCCTTAGCACAGCACGGCAATTAAATAATTCTGGGGGGCGGTATGCGCCGAACGATAAGATTAGCACCGCGCAAATGGAACGGAAATGCACAATTCCCGCGCCCCAGCTGGGGTGGTATCCACATTGGAATTGAAAGAAAAGTAAGATTGAGAGTGACATGCGAGTAATAAGAGCAATAATAGTGGTATCAGTAATAATAAAGATAACGCTAATGAAAATAAGACTAGGATGTCTCAGGCGAGGCGCTTGTATCAGAACCACAAGGAGACCATATTGCGAGAATGTCACAGGCGTTTTGCTGGTTTCGGCGAGCAGACCCGTCTGCGTTCACGTAAAGGTGCGAGGTGCCAGTGCCAGGGTAACGCTTCTGGGGTGCCGGGTGAGATATACTTTCGCCGGATAAGGGGGGGGGTTCTGAATTGCTTCTTGCAATTATCCAGACCATCTTGGCATTCCTGGGTGCCTCGCGGGATTTGTTCTTGAAAGTGTGGGTGCCGTGTGGAATGATTTTGGATCCACTTGTCAAAACGGTTGTTGGTCGTGTCGACGCCGTCTAACGGGCTGGTTTTCTGGCCTTGCGTGCTGCTGTCTGATGCGGATTGGCGCTGCTGCGTGCTGCTCCAAGTTGCGCGGTGCTCTTCATGCTGGCTGATGTTGCGCGCCTGCTTCTGCATGCTGTTGCTTGCTGCCGCTGTTGCGGGCCGTCAATAATGCTTGCCGTTGCGGTTGCTGCCTGTAGCTGCATGGTGCTGCTGGTTGCCTGTTCTACTTGATGTGTGCTGAAGTATTACGATGCCGCCTGCTGCATGTTGCGACATGCTGATTCTGTGTGCTGCGCTGCCGCTGCCTGCTTCGTGCTGCCGCATGTTACTGGTTGATGCTGCGAGGTGTGGTTTCTGGCGACTCCCGCTTGCTGTCAAAACGTGCTGATCGTGAGAAACTCGAGAAGCGAGGCGTCCGGCTCGAGGAGGAAGGAAGAAGAAACGAGGAGGGATCAGCGAAGAACGAACGAACGAACGAAACTCATGGAGTTCTTAACGTCGCCACACCCTGGCATGCACAAGTGCCGCCACTACTGGGATCCCTGAGGGGTCTTAACTCAAACCAGCAGCACCGCATCCAGCTAGCGTTCCCGGCTCGGGGCCGCACTTCCCCCATCAAGGGCACCCAAGGGGACCATTTGGGGCCCTCCGAGGGATCAGCGCCACGGGTCACAACTGATCACCCCATCGCTCGTAGCATCGCCTGACCGCCAGCTCGACTCGGGTGCGGTATGTTGCCATCGAACGGGGGGTGGGGCTGCGCGCGGCCGCTCGGCCAAACTCTCCAACCCAGACGGCGGCTGGATCAACGAAGAGTGAGAAGGGATGCAACACGGCCGAAGTGAAACTGGCGAATAAGGGAGAGCCAGGGCCGAAGGAGGAGTTGGGATGGAGGTGCGCGTAGCCAAGAGGGAGGAGCGATGGGCCAGGAGAAAGAAGCGATGAGGAGCGAGAAGAGGCGAGCACGGAGCGAAACGTGTGGAGCAAGGAGCGAAGGAGGCTCGAGGAGCGACGGGCACACGAACACCCCAATGATCTCGACGCGCTCATGGCCGAGCGCGCGGCTCTTCTATGGTCGTTTGTTGGACCCTCTTGAGGCCGTCTCGGGGCCTTCGTGGAATCATCCTCGGAGTTTCTTGGGTTCTCGTGGGGCCCTTTTCTAGCCTTCCCGGGGCCTGTGGGCGTCGCTTGATTCCTGCGTGCTGTTTTGGGAGGCTCCGCGCACGATCAAGGGGGTCCATGGGTTCATCTGGGGGAAGTCCTGAACATTCTAGGGGCCGTCACGGAACCATCGCGGCGATCGGCCATGTCCATCGCGTGCCTGCCTTGAGGGCCGCTTGGGCCTTCTGGAGGGCCTCTCTAAGCTTTTATGCCCCTCGTGGAAGACTTTGGGGCCCGTGCTGGAACCACCTCGATACGAAAAAAGGACAGTGTCCAAACCGTAGTAAGCCCTGAGCTTCCTGGGCGATGTTCACCTCTGGTGGCCACGCGGGCGTCCCCGCGCTATAACCGATGACGTTGGGTTCCAGTTTCACCTCCCACATATCGCTCAGCAGCGCCAGCGCCCGCTGCCACTGCTCACCTTTCTCGCACGCGCTGATCCCAGCATTGTAGCTGACTGGTGTGTACCCGTGTTTGCTGCCACTGGCGGCGGGGGTTGCCGAACCATTTGTAAGGTCTGCAGGCGACAACCACGTGCCAGATGGAGGGAAGGCCGTAGGAGCCGTAGATCCTGAGGAACTCCTGGCCAGGGGGCTCGAAGGGAAGGGAAAGGAGACATCCGGTCGGTGTGCGGCCTGAACTACTCAGGGCTGCTCCGATGCTCGTGGTTCGTTGTTAACGTGTCCAGTCGGTTCGTCCTTTGCGGTCCCCTCGGGTTCGCGGCTGGACGGAACTGGGAAGACTGGTGCCGCCGACGCCGCCGCCGCCGTCGCCGTCGTCGCCGCCGCCGTCCTCGCCGTGGTCGCCGTCGTCGCCGTTGTTGTCGTCGTCGTCGCCTTTGTCGCCGCCGCTGTCGCCTTTGTCGCCGCTCTCCAAGGCTCGCACCTCGAGCCTCGGGAATCGAGGCCCGAGGCAATGTGTGGTTCTCCCCAGGGTCCCCCTCGGCGCCACGGCCAGACGCAGCTCGAAAGACAGTTGCGAATGTACCCCAAGAGAGGTCTGGAGACCCATTCGAATCTCCAGTCTCGAGGGTGGCAGAGGGGCCTCCATGTCGCAACGGCACGGGTCGGGTCAACAAACCTGATGCGCTTGGACCCTGGAAGCGTCCCACGTATCAGGGGGGGAGCCGCCAGAGCGCGGAGGTCAGGGGCAGGGCGGAGGTCCGGCGGAGGGGGGAAGATGATGACGACGACGACGCTGACGACGACGACGACGACCGACGACGACGACGACGACAGACGACGACGACGATAACGACGACGACGACCGACGACAACGAAGACGACATACGACGACAACGACGACGACGACGACGACGAAAATGGCCGCCTCTTGGGGCTGCCATGAGCGCCTGAGGAGCCGTCCTGGCGCAGTCTTGAGCCGTCTTGGGGCCCTCCTGGCAGCCTCCTGAAGCGTCTTGGGACGATCGTGAGGGCCTGTCTGGCCGTCCTGGACGCTTCGGAGTCGAAAAGCACGGGAACTCCCGAACTGCACGTTTTCCCACACGGATTGGGACTGATGTTTCCGTGTTCGGGCTCCGGAGCCCACTCGGAGCATTGTGGGGGCCTCTTGGGCCCGCGGCCATCTGTCCTGGGCGTCTTCGACGACGGCGGGGAGGAGAAGGAGGAGGAGGAGGAGGAGGACCTCCAGGAGGAGGAGGAGGAGGAGGAGGAGGAGGCCCAAGATGATTAGAAAACACCGCGCCACACACCTCTTGAGACACGGTCGGCGCGAAAGGGATCTGACAGCTACTTTCTACACCCCCTCCTGCGCGATAGGTGTCCCAAGAGGTGTGGGGCATGGTTGTGTTCCCATGAACTGGTGCGAACTGGAAGCCTACCGGAGAAGTTCGGCAGGAGCTGCTGGAGGCCTTCGAGGAGCCAGCGGGGTTAAATGAACTGGGGCCTCGTAGGAATGGGAGCATTTCAGAGCCGTTTCGAGGGAACTCCTGGAGGGTTTCCGGGAGCTTCTGGGGAGTGCCCCGGAGCCGGTCTTGAAGCTTCTAGGGGGCTTCTTCGGGGCTTGCTGGACGTGGGAGTGGCGGGAGGGGCGGGGAGCGCTCCCCCTAAGGCCGTCTTGGGAAGCTGTTCGGCCGTCTCGGGAGTCCTCAGAGCCGTCTTGAGGGTCTCCGGGGCCGTTATAGAGGCTCTCTTGTGAAACTCTTTGGTGCCCTCCGGACGATTTGGGAGGCTTCTCGGGTTGGGTTGGGCGTCTTGTGGCCAGAGAAGCGATCGCAAGAGGAAATATCCAAAAGGCTAGAGAACGTCGGGTAGTTTTGCGTCCTCGTGGCTCTGTCGGAGGCCATCTGGGAGCCTGGTGGAACCTGTTTGGGGCCTTCTCGGGCCGTCTGTGAGCCCTCTTGTGCTGCAGAGGATCGCTCTGGGGTCTTTCCATGGCACTCGAGCGGGGCCGCGGAGGCGCCGCCGCGGGCATGGCGAGCGCAAATAATGTGTGTTCTGGCACGCGCTGAGCCCAGCATTGTAGTACAGATTAGGGCTGACCCGCGGCCTACCAGCCACAAAGCAAGTCCGAGATGGCACGTTGGACCAGGGCAGAGATGTTGTCGAAAGGCTTTCGTGATGGCATTGGGCTGGGACTTCACTTCTGCTGTTGCTGCCTACAGCTGCAGGGTGCTGCAGCCTGCGGCATTTTGATGCTGCTGCTGCCTACTTTTGCTGTGCAACCACTGCCTGCTGCGGCCTGCTGTTGTTCGCTGTTGCTGCTTGAGACTGCAGAGTGCTGTTTCTTGCTACCTTTGCCAGCTGACTCAACTTGGAGCTCGTGAGTGGAGCGAGGAGCAAGGAGAAAGGAGCGATGAGGTAGGGTCGATGGGGGAGGTGGGGAAGCGAGGAGCGATCAGCGAGGAGAACAGAGCGAGAAGAGAGGAGCGGCGGCCAAGGAGGGAGAGAGATAGAGAGAAAGTGAGAGAGAGAGAGAGATGCGAGGAAGGATGAGGGAGAGCCGCAGAGGAACGATGCGCGTGCAGCGAGGGGCAAGGATCGAGAAGGGAGGCATGAAACAAACAACAGCAGAATTCTGTCTCCATGGCCTCGGCGCGCGTGTGGCCAAGAAATTGGTGTCATTCGCTCGTGGGGCCCTGTTGGGTATGGTCGGCGCGGTCACAAGGATCCCCTAGGGATCTTTTCTCGGAAGCCTCTTCTGGGCGGTCTTTGGTGTGTCTTGGGGCCTCTCGCGGCCATCTCGGGGCCTGATTCGGGTGTCTTCGGGGCCTCCTGGTGCTTCTGCGGGTCCTCTTGAGGGCTTGTTGGCGGTTTCTGGGATCATACTGGACCGGAGGGCGCACAAGGTCACTTCGAGATCCCCCTCTTGGGGCCCTGTTGGGACCCTCTTGGGCCGTCTTGGACGCCTCTTGGACCGCCCTGGGGTCCTCTTGGGCCGCCTTGCGGCTCTCACGGGGACCTCTGTGCCTGTCTTGGGGGAATTCAGGGAGCCACCAGGGCCTGCCGGAGCGCTGCGAACACCAACAACTACAAACGAATAAGCCCACATGGCGCACTTTTCCCGACGGAATCGGGACGATTTGGGCATTTCGGGGCTAGCCAGGGGGCCCTTGTGAATCTGCCTTGGGCAGTCCTGGGGGCCTCTTGGGCCGTCTTGGGCCGTCTTGGGCGCCTCTTCGGCCGACTGTGGGCTCTGTTGGCCCGTGCGGGTGGCGTGGCCGGAGACCCGCAGGGATGTGCGAGCTGCCCCAGGGACGCGTTCCGGCCTCCGGGAGCCTCCCGGGTAGAAGAGAGAGCATTGATGCACCGTACCTTCTCGCACCAAGATGCTCCAGCAGTGTAGAAATGACGTTGGGCTCCAGCTTCACATCGCGCATCTCGCTCAGCAGAGCTAGCGCCCGCTGCCACTGCTCGCCCTTCTCGCACGCGCTCATTCCAGCACTGAAGCTGATGACGTCGGGCTCCAGCTTCGCATCGCGCATCTCGCTCAGCAGTGCCAGCGCCGACTGCCACTGCTCGCCCTTCTCGCACGCGCTGATCCCAGCGCTGTAGCTGACTAGGGCTGACCCGTGGACTACGTCAACCTGCGGGGTGAAGCGTATGGGGGCCTCTGGGGGTGTCATTGCAACGTGGGGCTCGACCCTCGCATTCGGCGCATGCCTCTGCGTGTTGCTTGCTGACGCTGTTGCATGTTGTTGATAATGCTTGCCGCGGCTGCGTGTTGTTGTTGCTTGTGGCTGAAGTGTGCTGCTGATGACCGCGCCTGCTTGGTGCGCGCTGCTGACCGCTACCTGCTGTTGCTGTGCGCTGACGCTATTGTTGCCTGCTTCGTGTATGTTGCTGCTGCCTTCGGGTCATGGGGGCTTTTTGGGTCGCCCAAGGATGATCTTGAGCCACCTTGGGGCTGTGTAGGGCCGATGCTGGAAATCAAGAAGCGACAGCGTGCCTTCATTTCTAACGATGTTCCATGGTGGCCGTGGCCGGCCAAGGAGGTCAAAAGATGCGCGCGGACTGCGTCGGCTGGGGAGAAGGGCTCTCTGAGAGACCTTCCCTCGGAAGCCTCTTGGAGGCGGCTCTGGGGGTGTCTTGCGGCCTCTCGAGGGTCTCTTGGCACCTGATTTGAGCCGTTTGGGGGGCCTTCTGGGGCGTTTGGGGGGCCTCTTGGGGGCCAGCTGGCGGTTTCTGGGATCACCTGGGAGCGGAGGGCGCGAACAGTTACTTCGAGTCCCCCCTCTTAGGGGCCCTCTTGGGGACGTCTTGTGCCGTCTTCGGGGCCTCTTGGGCCGCCTTGCGGCCCTCGCGGGTTGCCTGGGAGCTCCCTGCGGGGCCTCTTGGGCCATCATGTCGCGATCTTGGGTGCCCTGGGCTCGGAGAGTCGAGTCTCTGAAAAGGCGACAACGCTGAAACCCTTCGAAAAGCACAAGGAAACCAATGATTTTGGCGGGCCCTTCTTGAGGGCCTCTTCGAGCCCTCTTGAGCCTTTTTGTCCAAGTACTTTGAGGCCTTCTTGGGCGTCTGGGGGGTCTCTTGCTGGCCAGCTGGAGCTTCTGGGATCATCCTGGCGCGGAGGGCGCGAAATATCATTTCGAGTTACCCCTCGTGGGGTCCTCTTGGGGCCGTCTTGGGCCGTCTTTGGGTCCTCTTGGGCCGTCTTGGGGCCCCCTTGGGAGCTCTTGTGGGGGCCTCTTGGGCCATCATGTCGCGATCTTGGGGGCCCTGGGGCCGGCTTGGAACGTGCAAAAAGGCAAGAGCGCTGAAACCATTCAAACCAAAAAAAGCAGGAAAGAAATCCTCAAAAAAATGCAAAGGGCCCTTCTTGGAGGCCTCTTTGAGCCCTCTTGGGCCGTCGTCCGGCTCTGTGAGGCCGTCTGAAAGCCATATTAGCCACCTCTTGGACCGTCTGGAGGCGTCTCGGGCCATCTTGGGCCGTCTTGGGGCCCTCAGAAGCCGTCCAGGAGCTGGTGTTGGGTCATTGGATCCCCCGCCTTTCTGGCACGCGCGACCCCCGGCGTTGTCGGAGGTTGGGGGGTGAGATCGCAATGGAACGGACACTCCCAATCGGGAAATCGTTTCGTTTCGTTCGTGTCGTGCGTGCGGGCGAGGCGAAGCTGCGTGCGCGCGCGAGAGGAATGAACCCGCCGTTGCTAGGGCGAGGTCAAGACAAATGTTTCTCCTCCGTCCGTCCGGCGGTGGTTTGAGCGGTGTCCCGCGGTGATCCGTGGTGTCCGCCGTTGCTAGGGCGAAGTCAAGACAAATGTTTCTCCTGCGTCCGTCCGGTGGTGGCTTGAGCTGTGTCCCGCGGTGTCCCGTGGTGTCCCGTGGTGTGAGATCGATAGTGAGATCGATAGTGAGATCTATTTGGTGCCCCGAGGTGTTCCGTGGTGCCCCCTCAACAAAAATCAATAGTGAGATCGACAGGTGTCCCGTGGTGTCACGTGGTGTCCCGTTGGGTGAGATCGATAGAGAGATCGATAGTGAGATCGATACTGGGATCGATGTGGTACCCCCAGGTGTCCCGTGGTTTCCCGTGGTGTCCCAAGAAGTAAGATCGATAGTGAGATCGATAGTGAGATCGACAGGTGTCCCGTGGTGTCCCGTTGAGTGAGATCGATAGTGAGATCGATGGGGCGTTCCGAAGTGTTCCGTGATGTTCTATGGTGTCCCATTGAGTGAGATCGATAGAGAGATCGATAATGAGACCGATAGTGGGATCGACAAATGTCCCGCAGTGTCCCGCGGAGTCCCGTGGTGGCCCGCGGTGTCCCGTTGAGTGAGATCGATAGTGAGATCGGCAAGTGTCCCGTGGTGTCCCGTTGAGTGAGATCGATAGTGAGATCGACTGAGTCAGATGTTGGTTCCCCCCCCTCTGCCCCCCCCACAACCTCCTTATCACCCGAAGGGTGGTCGTATGAGTAGCGTCGACTAATGTGAACCCGTGGAAAATCCACGGCTGGCAAGTGGAGGTGTTGGTCCCGAGTGCTCACGCACCGTGGATCGCAGGCGACACGTGCACGTTTGCGACCGACTCTCGGGTTTACTGGAGGCTCTGGGCTCTGGGGCTCCACGGAGTAGGTCCCCGCAGTGTCTGCAGATCCCCCCCAGCCTGTCACCCCTGCCCGGCCGTCGAGGGGGAGCGACCGAAGTGGCTGCAGGTCATCCCTGTCGCCCCGAACAGGGGGAGTGGAGGCCCCAGAGCGGCCGGAGCCTCGATGAGGGAAGGAGAAGGAGACCAGAGGAGAAGTTCCCCCCCGCCACCCCTAACAGTCGGGCGTAGAGGATGTGTCTCGACGGCGATTCTGGGCCCTCTCCGAATGTTCCTGGGTCCGCTTTTGGGAGCTCCGTGGAGCTTTGGGAGTCTCTCCTTGGGACTGCTCTTGGGAGCTCCGCGGGAATTGTCGGAGTCTCTCAGCAAGCTTGAGGGAGTTGTGGACGACTCTGGGGCATCTCGGAATGGTCATGGGACCGCTCGTGGGAGCTCCGTGGGAACTATCGGAGTCTCCTTGGAGGCTCTGGGGCATCTTCGAATGGTCTGGGGCCTGCCTTGGGGGACTGGAATTTTCTTGGGGGCGGTTGGGGTTCGAGAGACTGCGGAAGGGTGCCGTGCTTGAAGGCACTCTTCTGACGAGCTCCTTCAGAACCACCCGATGATATTGGGAGACTCCGGGGCATGTGGTCATGGTCCTTGGAAGGTTCTTGGCCCAGGGCTGCGGGAGGGGCGCCGTCTCGGCGCCCTTCGGCCTCTCTTCGAGCCCTTCTGGGGTTCGGGGCCCATTTGGGAGCGGTGTAGGGCTGTCTCTGGGCGACTATGGGGCATCTCGGAGTGGTCCTGGGACCGCATCTGGGGAGCTCCGTGGGGACTATCGGGTCTCTTGGGGGGCATCTTCGAGTGGGCTGGGGCCTGCCTTTGGGGTCTGGGGCTTTCCGGGGGGCGGTTGGGGTTCGAGAGACGGCGAAAGAAGGCCGTGGCTGGAGACACTCCCGCGAGAGGTCATTGTGTAATCGCAGTCTCTTATGTGGGAGTGGTCCTTGGGTTATGTAGGGAGTCGTCTGGGCTCCCGTCGGCCCGTCTTCGAGCTCTCGTGGAGGTCACTTGGAAGCCTCTACGGGCTCTTTTGGCGCATGTTTGGGTTGTCTTGGTCCGTCTCGGGGACATCTCTGGGCCACCTTGGGTCATCTTCCTCACCTCCTGGGCCGTCTTGGGTCTCTTTCGGGCCGTCTTGAGCCGTTTATGGGGCTCTCTACAGCCCCGTTGGGATCCTCTTCGGATGCCTCTTGGCCCAGACTGGGGCGATGTTGGGAGCTGTTGGGCCGTCGTGCACGCTGCAAGGTCCCAGAAGCCGGGCATGCTCGACATGTTAGAAGATCCTGCAGTTGACACCGTCTTTGTGCACTGGAAGGCCCTGCCGGGCATACAATTGGAGCGCTCTGGGAGCCTTTTGAAAGGTGTTGTGGCCGTCTGGTGGCCGTCTCGGGCCCTCGAGGCCGTCTGGACGCCATCTTGGGCCACATTGAGGCCGTCCTCAGCCGTGTCGGAAACATCTTCGGCGAGCTTGAGGGATTCGTGAATTCTTCCTCCCGGCGGGCCCTCCCAGCGCACCACGCGCTGCCCCCGGGCGCCGCCACCAGAGCAGCGCACCGCCCGTTGCTCCCGGTATTCTACGATCAGTGACGTTGGGCTCCAGCTTCGCCTCCCGCATCTCGCTCAGCAGCGCCAGAACTGGCTGCCACTGCTCGCCCTTCTCGAACGCGCTGATCCCAGCGCTGTAGCTGACCAGGGCGAACCCGTGGACTTCGTCCATGTCATCTTGGGCCGGTCTTGCGTCAAAATGGCCGTCTTGGGCCGGTCTTGGCTCGGAATCGCGAGAACCTGAAAATCATTCAACAACCATGACAACTCAATGATTGCTGTCCGCCGCGAGCCGTCTGGTCGGCCTCTTGGGCCGTCCTTGGCCATGTTGGGGCTCTTGGGCTGTCTCGGAGCTCTCCGTAAGCCCTCTTGGGCCGTTTTGGGCTCCTCCAAGAGCCGTCTTGAAGCACACCGGAGCCGTCTTGGGGCCCTTGCCGGATCCTCTTGAGCCTTGGAGCATTCGCGGTGCGAGAACCTGAACAGCAGGGAAACAAAAACATCACCAATCAATGATTTTGGGCCGCCGCGAGCCGTCTGGACGGCCTCTTGGGCCGTATTGGGGCAATGTTGGGGCTCTTGGGCTGTCTCGGAGCTCTCCTTGAGCCCTCTTGGGCGACCCTTGGGGCCCGTTTAGGGGCTCCTGGGCGCCCTCTCGGGCCGTCTCGGGACTCGCAAGGGCCGTCTGGGGCTCCTCCAGGAGCCGCCTCGGAGCAATCCTGTGTCTTGGGGCCCTTGCCGTAGCTCTTGGGAGGCATTGGAACGTTCGGGGGGGGCCCAAGAGCCGTCTTGGGCCGCTCTTGATTTGAAATCGCGAGAACCTGAAAATCAGGCCCAAACCATCAACGATCAATGATGTTTGGCCGCCGCGAGCCGTCTGGACGGCCAGTGGGGCCGTCCTGGGGCCATGTCGGCCATGGCAAGGGCTCTTGGCCCGATCTCGGCGCTACTTGAAAGCGTCCCGAAGCGTGCTCGAGCCGCCCAGAGGCAAGCTGGGCCGCGCCAAGGGCGCCAGGTGCCCGCCGAGGCCGCGCCAAGGGCCCGCCGAGGCCGATGTTGGACAGTTGATCAGTCTCCTTTAAATCCCGCACGCGCTTCCCCGGCCATGCAGGAGAGACTAGTTAGGGCTGGGGATCGGTTGCGCCACGCTCGCCCTGGACATCTCGCTGGGCATCGGGATCGCCAAGTGGCGCTGCCCCCCGCCCCGCGGGGCCGGCGGGGGCGAGGGGCGGCGGGGGGAGAGAGGGATTCGGCGAGGGAGAAGAAGTTCGGAACTGTTGCAGCGAGGAAGGACGGGCAAGGGTTCTGGCGGGAATCTTCGACGGTGCTCCCGTTCACGCGGGGGCTGTTCCGAAGCGAAGGGAAAATGTGAGGGGCCCGACTGCCTTCTTTTTCTGGGCAGCCCGCGGTGGAAATGCCAGATCAAAACACACACACACACACATATCGGCCGTCTGGAGCGTCTGAACGCCTGGTTCGAGGGAAGGGTTGCGGGGGATCTGTCCACAACGCGGAGGCGAAGGCGAGGGGCAATGCAAGGAAGGAAGTGAAGGTAGCGGAAAACAGAAGTGGGCCCCCGTGCCTTATTTCCCTGGGTGGCCCGACCTGACAATGCCCAGGAGAGACGAGCGTGGGTGCCCGGTGCGTCCGAACGCTTGGCTCGTCGGGATCGTCGCGAAGAATCTCTGCGTTTTGCGCGGGCGCGGGTCAACCGGATACGCGCAGCGGTAATGGCATTGCGGGGCGGGGCAAGCTGGGACGCGAAAGGACGGGGAACTAAGAATGGCATGTCTGTCTCGGGCGGGTGGTCATGGGGGGTGGCTAAATTGGGGGATGAAGAAAGGAGCCCTAAAGGGCCACTTGAGGGCCCCTGTTGGAGCCAGCAGGGGCACAAAAGGAGGCGGTAAAGACACCTCCCCTGTGTCCTCAGGGGTATACCTTTAACTGTGAAGGCCTATGCCTCCAGTTACCGCTCGTTCCTTGGAGCCTTGGCGTGCAAACTTTGAACGGCATCATAATCTGGCTTAAGCCCTCTTCGGAGCGTCCAGTAATGCCTGTCTGGGGGCTCTGCAGGCTGCGCTAAGCTATTAGGGGCCCCATGAGGGGTCATTTTCGAGGCCTCATGAGCCGTCTAAAGCTCGTGCGTCTTGGGCCGTCTTGGAGCTCTCTTCGAGCCCTCATGGGCAGCTCTTGGTGCCCTTTTGGAATCGCCTCGTAGCCTCCTGTGCCGTCTTGGAGCACTCTTGGGCAATATTCGGGCTCTCTGCGGTCTTGGAGCACGCTTGGGCCGTTTTGGGGGCCTCTTCGGGGCCTCTTCGACCGTCTTGGGGCGTCCTGGGAGGGCATGGGAGCCGTCTTGGCCCGCTTTGGGCCCGGAAAGCGAGAACATGCAAATCTCTGCAAAACATTACGAAAACGCTGCTTTCGCCGCCTCAAGCCGTCATGAGGGTCCTGTTGGGCTGTCTTGGAAGCCTCCTGGTTTTTCTGTCTTGCCGCCTGGAGACTCGTCTGGGCATCTGGAAGCAGTCTTGGGGACGTTTCGGGCACTCTTGGGGCCATCTTCGAGCTCTCTGGAAGCGTTCTAGGGCGCGAAGGAGCCGCGCAAAGGCGCATCGGGGGCCTGCTGGGGTCCCGCCGGAGGGACCTGGAAGGGTCCGCCGGGCCGATTGTGAATACTCAGCCCCCAATCCATCTAGCACGCTCCGCTCCCAGCCAAATAGAGTAGATGACGTTGGGCTTCAGCTTGGCCTCCCGCATCTCCCTGAGCAGCACCAAAGCCCGCTGCCACTGCTCGCCCTTGCACGCGCTGATCCCAGCGTTGTAGCCGACTTGTGTGAACCCGTGGCTGGAATCCCACGGTTTGCCAGCCCTGGGGCTAGCAAAACAGGGCGTCGGAGCCGAACAGCTCGTGCAGCTCGTGGAGAGGACGGGGGGGGAAACAAAGAGTGCAGGTGGAGGACCTCGGAGCGCCTGAGCGTGCCGCGGCAGCGACTCCGTGGACGGAATACCGTGAGTTTCTGTCGTGACAAGTTGCGCTGATGCTCTTGACACCGCGTGGAACTCGACTAGACGCAAGAGTGACCTTTCGCAGGAGTGACCTTTGGTGCGGGCACGGATGGGTCCCCAGATGGCTGAAAACGAAGCAGTAGCAACTTGTTGCGCGTCCAGATTTGGTCACCTCGAGGCCCCCTAAAAAGCCGCGCAACAAAGGTCACTCTTACACAGGGTCACTCTTGCGATTAGTGGGCCCTGGAAACAACAGGGCCGTTTTTTTACCGGTTCCGTTTTGCCGTTTTTGTCGCCGGTTCCGACGCCGTTTTTGTTACCGGTTCCGTCGCCGTTTTTTGACCGGTTCGGGCTTCGGTTCCAATCCTGGAGCCGTTTTTGTTGCCGTTTCCGGTCGCCGTTTTTTTGCCGCTTCCATTTTCAAGAACATGTTTTGGGGAAACGGTGAAAAAACGGCCCTGCCGTTTCTGGGGCCCACAAAGCTCAGGTAGCGCAAGACTCTGGTTGACCCAAAAGGGGGTCCAGCTGAAAGGGGGGGTGCAATAGGTGTGGGGCAATTGTATTGCAAAGGTATTGCGCCAGAGAATTGTATTGCATTGTGTTGCAATTAATTAACGTATGGCACGCGAAAACCTAGCAATACATCTGCGCCCCGGAATCAATTGCACGCCCCAGATGTATTGCAACCCCACAAATCGATTGCAACATATCTATTGCACCACCCCCTTGTCGCTGGACCCCCTTTTGGACCAACCCGAAAGACGGAGCGGGCAACGGAGAGAAGGAAGGGCACGCGGAGGAAGGGAGGAAGGGAGCGAACACTCCGGGAGGCGCGGAGATCCACGCCCTCTGCCTCGGGCGCGGCCCAACCGACCCCCCATGTGACGAACGCTCCTGCGACGACCTCCCCGCTCTGGAGGCCCGCCTCCGGCTGCGCGCGTGCGCCTAACAGCGATGCGAGGAGGCAGCCACGTGAGAGCGCTGGTCCGCTGCGGGGGGGAAGAGACCGCTCCCGAGCCGCGCTCCGTCGGGCTGTGAGCGGGGCGCCCCGGTGCTCCACTGTGACTGGGCGCCAGTACTCCGCCAGGATGTTCCCGGGCCCACGCGGCCTCGGAGACCCACTCTTAGGATATGCGGGATCTCCCGTGGGCCGTCTCGGGGGCATCCTGGGTCCTTCTGCGAGGCTGCCTGGGGCCTCTGGAAAGCCGCTTGCGGAATTTTGGGCCCGTTCCCAGGCTGTCCGCTAGAGCCCCTTTTGAAGGACAGCCGTGAAGCTTATGTTGCAATCGCCTTGGAGCCTTCCTGGGGCGTCCTTGGGGCTCTCGAAGGCTCTGTGGGGACTCTCTTGGGGCGGTCTTGGAGGGCACATAGGGCTCTTCGGGGCCGTCTTCGGGCGCTCTTGGGGCTCTTTTAAGCCTTCTAGGGCCTCTCGTGTGAGCCTGATGGGCAATGATGGGGCGATCTAGGAGACGCTAGAGCCGTCAGGAGCCGTTCTTGGGGCGAAATGAGGGGAACCTGAACATCCTCCAAGAGCTATTTTAAATCTACGATGTTGGCATCGTGGGGCCGTCATCGGGGCCGCATTGGGAGGCCTCCTGGCTTCTCTTTGGGCCGTCTTGGGCTATTGTGAGGCTCGCTTCGGGTTCTCTAGCACCATGCAGGCGCTCTCTTGACGGTGTCTCTGAGCCGTCGTTGGACGTCTTGGAGCCTTCCAGCGACCGTCGAGGGCAGTCCAGGACCCCTTCTGGGAGCGCCGTGGCGCCCCGGGAGCGCCGGGAGCCGCCCGGGGCCGAGCTACCACTGCAGCGAACCTCGCCTACAGAGCTAACCCGTAGACTCCATCCACGTCCGCCGGCATGTCCAGCGTGTGCTTGCTGCTGCTTGCTTCTGCAATCAGCTTGCCGCTGGTGCTGCTTGCGAACCAGGCTGCCTTCTTGTTTGGGCGCGTCGCTTGCGTGCTGGCGGGATCGCTGCTTGCTGCCTGCTCTCCTGCTGGCTGGCTTGTGCTTGCTGCTGCTTGCCGGGGGTCTCCTGGGCTGAGCCTGGGCCTCCTCTGGGGCCTCTTGGGCCACCTTGGAGCCAGGCTGGGCCATCGGGGGGCGGCGAGGGGGGTGTCGGAGGGAGCGTCTCAGGCCGCGCTGGGGCGATCTGGGGCCGCCTCGGGGCCATGTTGCGGCCAAGACGGGAATGCAAGAGGCGCACGCGCGCCTCATTCTCCCCGGGGATGCTCCATGGCGGCTGTGGCCGCGCGAGCAGGTCGGAGGAGAGGCGCGCGGGACGCGTGGCGGAGCGTGCCCCCCGGCGGACGGCAGGCCTGGAGCACCCTCCTGCAGGGGACGAGTCCCCTACGGGTCGCCCACTCAGACCGAGGCGGGCTCCAGAGGCGGGAGGAGTAAGGAACGCGCGGGTGCATTGTTTTCATGGGTGGCCCGCTCCTCCACCTCCTCCGAGGAATCGCCCCTCGGAAGCCTCTTGGAGGCGGCTTCGGGGTGTCTTAGAGTCTTGGGGCCTCTCGGGAGCCACTTGGGCTCCGATGCATGCCCTTGCTGGGGGGGGGGGCTCTCGGTATCCTGCTGGCGGTCTCGGGGGTCACCTAAGAGTGGAGGGCACAAAATGTCGGGTCGAGTTCCCTCTCTTGGGGCCGCCTTACCTGAGCCACCTTGGAGGCCTCTTGGGCCGTCTCGGGGCCCAAATAGGGCCGTGTAGTTAGGGCCCTCTTTTGGAGATTTTGGAGCCTCTGGGGCCGTCTTAAAACGCCCGACGAGGCGAGAACGCTGCAATCCTTCAAACACCGAGAAGGGAAAGCGGAACATCCATGATTTGGGCCCCTCGGGGTCCTCCTGGGAGGATCTCTTGGGACCCTCTTCGGCAGTCCTGGGGCCCTCTTTGGCCGTCAATAAGCCATATCGGCGACCTCTTAGACCGCATGGAGGCGTCAAGGGCCGTCTTGGGCTGCCTTGGGGCTCCATTGGACAATCCTGCAGCGCTCTGGGGGCGCGCCAGGGACGAGGGGGCTCACCCGTGCCCACTTGGGTCATTCGCCGTCCCGCACGCGGTGCCCCCGGCGCTAGACTGCATAGACCGGGGCTGACCCATGGACTACGTCCACGGAGTCTGCACGAATTGGCATGCGACGGTGGAAATGCTGCCGGAAGGCTGAACCGAACGCGTGGGGCCCAGTCTTCGCAAGCCACTGGTGCGTGCCATTGGTAATGCTCGCCGCTGCTGCGTGCTGTTGCTGCTCATGGGGTCTGCCGGGACTGCGAGCTGCAGGCGGCCTCCTCCTCCTCATCATCGTGTCTCTCTCGCCCTCGTCCTCATGTCCTCTTTGTCCTCGTCATCCAGGTTCTCCTCATTATACTCAGGCGTTTCCTCGTGCTCCTCCTGCCTCATTCCTCCTCCTCCTAAACCTGCTCCTCTGGCTGCTCCTCCTCCTCCTCCTCCTCCTCCTCCTCCTCCTCCTCCTCCTCCTCCTCCTCCCTCTCGTGGAGGCCGCCTAGGGTCTCGGAAGTCTCTTGGGTCGTTTTGGGTATTGTGTATATATATATATATAAACATGCGAGCCACTATGGAAAATCAGCAGTTGCTACTGCTCGCGACTCTCGGGGTCCTCCTGGGCCCTTCTCGGGGCGTGTTTGCGGACCTCCTGGGCTGCCTTTGGGACGCCCTTGGGCTGTAGAATGGGACGCACAAGGACATACTAGTACTATGTAGCCTCCCTGGAGGCGCGTCCGACCCGAACATATAGTGCAACATTATTGCAATGTATCGTTTCCCGAGCGGCATGGCCAGGAAGTGCCCACCACGGGCCATACACGACAAGACTTCTCGGAGAGCGCGCGTCGCCCTTTTTGGGGCGACGCACACACATAGTACATAGTATTAGTAACGGTCGGTCGGAAGAAGTCGGCAAAAGCATGGAGTAGGACAGCGGAATAAGATAGATTGGGCCCAGGACCTCCCAGATAATAACAGAACACAACAAAAACATATCAACTCTTGAAGTAGGAAGGCGCTTGAGGTAGAATGGGATCTGAGAGTCCAAAGATACCTACTTTCAACGACCGACGTGTTCACTATACGATTTCTCGACGCGCGCGCGTCGCCCTTTTCGGAGCGGCGCCAACTTAGTATTAGTGTGCGTGGGTGGCGCCGACAGCGAGGCTCTCGGGAGGCCCTCTCGGGCTGTCTCGGGGCTCCCTGGTGCCAGGACGGCGTCGCCCCCTGGAGCGGAGCCGCGGAGGCACCATGGCCCGGAAACATTGGATGCCCAAACTATCCGGGATATTTGCGGTCAGGGGTAACTCCGGTTTGGGGCCCCGAGGCGCTGACTGCTCCCATGCTCCCAACCCTGGTGATTCGGAAGGGTTGGACGCCCGAATTTTCCAGGAGAACTGCAGTCCGGGGTAACTCCGGCGTGGGCCCCCGAGGCGCGACTCTATACCCCTGACCGCCCCCAGCCCCAGAGGTGCTGCTGGACCATGGCGTCGCCTAATGGGGGGGCGATACAATTGGGGGGGGAGAAGGGTGCACTTCTTGGGCCCTGAAGGCCACCTTCTCGGCCCCACAAGGCCTCTTTGGGGCCCTGAAGGGTCCCTTTTTTGCAGCTCCCGCTGCCGCCCCCACTTTATCGTCCCACCATTACGCGACGCCCGCGGAGGCTCCATGGCCCGGGAGAAGCTGATGGACCCTCAGGCACGCAGGATGTCTGGAACTGCAGTACAGATGACGTCAGGCTCCAGCGTCTCCTCCCGCACCTGCGTGAGCAGTGACAGGCCCTGCGTCCACTGCCCGCCTTTCTCGCACGCGCTGATACCAACGTTGTAACTGATGACGTTGGGCTTCAGATTCGTCTCCCGCATCTGACTGAGCAGCGCCAGAGCTCGCTGCCACTCATCACCCTTTTGGCACGCGCTGATCCCAGCACTGTAACTGATGATGTTGGGCTCTAAGGTAGCCGCCCACATCTCGCAAAACAGCGCCAAAGCCCGCTGCCACTGCTCGCCCTTCTCGCACGCGCTGATCCCAGCATTGTAGCTGACTAGGGCAGACCTGTGGACTCCGTCCACGACATCAGCTCGACGTGGCGAGGGGTGTCTGGGCAAGCGCGGGGGGGTGCGGCTGCAGGGCCGAAAGGCAATCATTGTTCTTGTGTGCCTTCGATATGCCGGTCGCCTCTCGTCCGCTCCCCCCCTCCTGGAAGCAATTCTGAGGCCACTTTGGGCTTCGTGGGGGCCGTTTGGGGATCTCTTGGGGCGTTTTTGCCTGCGATATGCCTGTCGCCTCTCGTCCGCTCCCCCGCTCCTGGAGGGAATTCTGAAGCCACTGAAGGCTTCGTGGGGCCGTTTCGGAGCCTCTTCGGCCTTCTTTTGGGCCTCCCGGGGGGGCTCTTAGGGCCCTCTCGGGCCGTCTTGGGTGCCTCTTGGGCCGTCTTGGGGCCGTCTGAGGCCCGCCTCGGCGCCTCTTGGGCTGTCTTGGGCCGTCTTGGGCCGCTCCTGGGGCCGTCTTGGGTGCCTCTTGGGCCGTCTTGGGCGCCTCCTGGGCCGTCCTGGGGCCGTCCTGGGGCGTCTTGGGACCGTCTTGGGGCCCTCCTGGCCCGTCTTGGGGCTCTCTTGGGGTCCTCTTCGGCCGTCTTGGAGCGGTCGGGGGGACTTCTTGGGCCGTCTTGGAGCGTCGGGAAGCCGAAGAGGCGAGGAGGCCGAAAACATCGAAAAACACAATAGAAATCGACGATTTCTGTCGCTCGGGGCCCTCTTGGGAGGCCTCTTGGGAGGCCTCTTCGGGCGTCTTGGACGCCTCTTGGGCCGTCTGGGGCGAATCTCGGGCGTCTTGGGCCCATCTTTAAGCGTGCCGGGGCTCTCCGGGGCCGTCTTGGGGGCTTCTGGGGGCCCTCTCGACATGTCCTGGAGCCTGCCTGGGCGGCCCGGGGCGGCCCGGGGCCAGCCCGGGGCGGTTTCGGTGCATTGGGGCCTGCGCCCTTCTGGCACGCACTGGGCCCTGCAATGTAGTAGAGACTAGGGCTGACCCGTGGACTCCGTCCACGATATCTTTCTGGAATGATTCTCGGAGGAACGGGCTCCTGGGGGGGGGCACCGGACGTGGCCATGTATGACAGCTGGGCCGTTTGAGCCCGCGAGGCTCTGGAAGGCGAAGGCTCCGAGGTGATGGCAAGATGCCTGGAGGAGAGCGTGGATTCGACGGGGCGCCCGAGCGGTGCGAATGGCCAAGATGGCTCAAGATGGCGTTCAGAGCGGTGAGGGGTCCGAGCGGCGCGAATGGCCAAGACGGTCCAAGATGGCTCTCAGAGGGCCTCCGAGGGCCACTATCGCTTACTGTAGGCTCGCTCTGGGCGCCAAAGGGCCCTGCTGACAATTTTTCAAAGAAAAAGTGCTTGCAGACCCCTTTGGGGGCCACTTGACATGGCATGGTGACGTTTTCGTGTCGTGACGGCCCCGGTGGGTTGCACGCGCGGCTGACAGCTGGGCCGTTTGAGCCCGCGAGGCTCTGGAAGGCGAAGGCTCCGAGGTGATGGCAAGATGCCTGGAGGAGAGCGTGGATTCGTCGGGGCGCCCGAGCGGTGCGAATGGCCAAGATGGCTCAAGATGGCGTTCAGAGCGGTGAGAATGGCGAATGCTGCCCAAGATGTCGGGGGTCCGAGCGGCGCGAATGGCCAAGACGGTCCAATATGGCTCTCGGGTCCATCTTGGGGCGTCCCAGAGCCCTCTGGGGCCGTCTGGGGGGCCTGTTGGGGCCCTCTTGGCGCGTCTTGGGCCCATCTTGGGGCGTCCCGGGGCCCTCTGGGGCCGTCTTGGGCTGTCTTGGGACCGTCTGGGGGCCCTCTTGGCCCGTCTGGAGGCCCTCTTGCGGGCCTCGTCGGTGGTCTTGGAGCGGTCTTGGGGACCTCTTGCGCCGTCTTGGAGCGCAGGGACGGCGAAAAGGGGAGAATGCGAACAACATCGAAAAACAATGGAAGTCGACGATTTCTCCCGCTCGGGGCCCTGCTGGGAAGCCTCTTGGGAGGCCTCTTGGGGCATTTTGGCCGCCTCTGGGGCCGTCTTGGCCCAATCTTCAGCGTCTTGGGCCCATCTTGGGGCGTCCCGGAGCCCTCTGGGGCCGTCTTGGGGGCCTCTTGGGGTCCTCTTGGCGCGTCTTGGGTCCCGGGGCCCTCTGGGGCCGTCTTGGGGGGCCGTCTTGGGCTGTCTTGGGGCGTCTTGGGACCGTCTGGGGGTCCTCTTGGCCCGTCTTGAGGCTCTCTTGCGGGCCTCGTCGGTGGTCTTGGAGCGGTCTTGGGGACCTCTTGGGCCGTCTTGGAGCGCAGGGACGGCGAAAAGGGGAGAATGCGAAAAACATCGAAAAACACAATGGAAATCGACGATTTCTCCCGCTCGGGGCCCTGCTGGGAAGCCTCTTGGGAGGCCTCTTGGGGCATTTTGGCCGCCTCTGGGGCCGTCTTGGCCCAATCTTCGGCGTCTTGGGCCCATCTTGGGGCGTCCTGGAGCCTTCTGGGGCCGTCTTGGGGGCCTCTTGAGGCCCTCTTGGCGCGTCTTGGGCCCTCTGGGGGCCCTCTTGGCGTGTCTTGGGCCTGCTACGCTTTTTGACCAGAATCGCCCTTCTCGCACGCGCGGGTCCCTGCATTGTAGTATAGACTAGGGCTGACCCGTGGACTCCGTCCACGACATCTTTCTGGAATGGTTCTCAGAGGAACGGCGCAGATTGTACCGAACATCTACAGACACGGCGGCGGCTCGGGCGGCGGCAGCGAGACCGCGCCTTCGTGTCCGAGCTCTTGCAGCGCTCCAGCAGCTTGGACCAGCGCACTGCTCGTTCACCCCCCTCCTATTGAGGACAGTTTCGAAGTCTCTCGGGGATGTGCGTCGGAGTCGAAGCCCATCTGAGGCGTCTCAGGAGCGCTCGGGGAAGGGCTCGGGAGGCCATCGGGGAAAGCCACCGAAAGCGCCGGGGAGGTTCGCCAGGATCTACAGGGAGGGCCCAAGAGAGCTTCAAGAAAATTTGAAATTATTTAGAAAATCGTTGGAGAAACCGCTGTTGGGTCGGCCATCACCTCCGGGCGCGCCTTGATGGTGCGATCCAGTCGCATCACCGCCAACGGGAGGGTTTGTTCGCCATGTCCCATTCTGTTCGCCCAGAGGGTCTGTGGAGGCCTTCGGGCGATCAGAACGGGACAGGGCAAGGAATGGGGAAGACTTGTCCGAATCTCCTGGGCCCCCCAGGTGCTCGTCCGAAGAATGCGGAGAGGTCCCAGGGTCATATCAATTGGCTGCTGTCCCAGGGGTCCGGTCTGCTTGGCCCGAAGAGTTTGCCAAGGCCCCTGGGGGAACAGAATGGCACAGCATATCGGGCAAAGGGGGGCGGTAGCTGGCCTGTCAGACCCGGCGTTCGTCTTCTGCCCAAGCGGCGCGGGGCCCACGGGCCCCAGGGTTGGCGGCCCGCTGGGTTTCCTCTTGTTCGCCCACAGGGTTGGAGGAGGCCTCCAGGCGAACAGAATGGGGCAGGACAATGAATGTGGGAGACTTGTCGCAAGCTCCCAGCCCCCCCAAGTGTGCGCCCGAAGGGTGTGGGGCCGCGTTGGCTCCCTCAAAGGGCCGTCTTGGAGCCGTCCAGGCCCTTCTTGAGGGCGCCGTTTGCCGTGATGGGGCCGTCTTGGTTCGTCGTGGGCCCCTCATGGGCGCGTCCGTAGGCCGTCCTGGGCCCATCGGGGTCATCGTGGGGCTGTCTTGGAGCCGTCTGGGACTGTGAGGGGGCCGCCTTGGAGTTGTCTTGGGCCCCTCCTGTGCGCCTCCTTGGGCCGTCCTGGGCCCAGCAGGGGCCATGTTGGCACCCTCCTGGGGCTATCTTGGAGCCGTCTTGAGCCGTCGCAGCGCGCCTTGGGTTGTGCTGGGTCCGTCTTGGCCCGTCTTGGGGCTTTCCTGGGCGTTTCCTCGGACCCTCCTGGGACTTTCTGGGGCCTCTTGGTGCATCGGACCGCCGAAACGGCGGGAAA